TACAGAGCTCAGGTTATATCATCTGTCAGGCTGAATAGACTGAGAAATTTATATATATGTGGTTGCTTCAGGTGCGATGAGGAGCCGGAGGCGGTGTATTGAGACCATTTTTTACGAGCCTGTTTGCTTTACTGACACAGATACTGGAAGATGCAGTGTGTGGGAAATTCATTTGGGAGGAAAAGTGTCATTATATGAAGATTTTGATTAAGTTTTTATTATTATTATTACTATTATTTTTTTTGTAGGAAAGATTGAGTGGTGCTTGATGGACAAAAGTTGCTGCAATGATGATGAAGTAGTGCCAAGGGCGTTGTTTAATGGTATCTCTTAAAGACCAAAATCAAAATTTGAGTTTCCTTTTTGAGTTTCTTACTTCTATTAAACCCAAAAGAAGATGCCAGTGAGCTCCAAAGTATTTTTTTTTTTCAATTTTTTAAGTCGATGTGTCGATGTGAAAATATCTTCTTTTGTATACGTGTTTTGGGCTGATTATCTCATTAAATCTGATGTGGCTCTGGGCTAGTTAACAGGATTTATTTAACACAGCATGTATGGCAATTTGTATCTAGATTTCAGCTGATGCGAATGTTATTACTAGATTGAATGAGCGATATCAGCTGATAGATATGGGCCAGTAGGGGCCTTCTGCTCCTACTAGAGGTTATCACATAAGTATAATTCAGCTTTTAGGGTATAAATTCGTGCAAGCTTATTTGTAGATGTTTTTTCACTAGCTTGTAATGTAAAACATTTTTTTTTTATCAACCAACAGTTAAAATTCATATAAGCCTATAAGTCCTCTAAACCTTTTTTTAATACATTTTTTATAGATTTTTGTAAATTACACAGTATTTAACTGTAATGTGAACTGTATTTTACTGTAGGAGTATGTGTTCAGTATGTTACTGTATTGTAAAGTTGTATTGTAAAAAATTACTATATATTTTACAGTAAATATATACATAAAGTTTTTTAAATAGATATATAGCAAAATGTTAATATGCTGTGATGGATTTAAAGTGACTGGAGAACTGCTGACAATATTTTATTGTAGATTCTACAGGAAATTGATAACAGTACAGAACATTTTTTGTCTGTGATGTTTTACAAAGCAAGCCTTAAGCTTTTAAATGTGCTTTTGAAACATGATTGATATGATAATCTTTGGGCCCTATCATACAGACGATTATTGTTTGATTGTTGTTTGCTAGTTTCAGCTGATATGAAAAATAATTAAAGGATTAAAGTATTACAAAAATTATTATTTTTTTAGCCTACATAAATATAAAAACCACTACCTCCATGCCTTCTTCATCTCGGGGGGACTTTTCAGTTTATTCGTGACAATTTGCTTTTGTATAATGTTCTTATAATTAGCAGTATTATTTATTATATGCATATTTGTATTTGTTTTATTAATAACAAGCTTAGATTTACTCACCTGTCAGGTTTTAGACCAAATGGGGCACAGCATGTGTATTTGGATATAACTCCCACTTCGTTATTATTGTTCATTTATTCGTTTGCTGGAAATTAGAACTGAATTTAGAAATAGTTTTGAAAGAAATATTTGCACTTAAAAAAACGAAATTAATTATGTAGGCTAACGGATGTCTGTGCGTACAACACCTTTCCTTATCCACGAGAGTGAAAGTGAAAGTAAGGAATGAGGAGGCTCAGCTCTCATTCTCGCGCTGCAGATGCTCTGTTTAACTGTTTTCTCACTAGTGAAGCACTTAGTTTTTCCACTTACAAAGTCCGACATGTAAATACAAATGTGCCATGGCACGACGCAACTGGCTCTTAAAGGGAATGGGAGATGAGACTCTGATTGGTTTATTCTCAGAACACACCCATAACTCATTAAGAGAACAAGCTCAACCCTGTTAGACCATGCACCACGGCGCAAAGTGGATTTTTCCATCCTTAAAATAGCAAAAGTGGATTCGGATACGGCCTTAATGCTTTTGCACCCTGTGCTTTAGACTTTGGACCTGGATCGTCAAAATAGAGCCCTTTGACTTAAACATATATTTTAGAGCACATTCTTTAAAATTATGCTCTCAAAACATAGTTTTTGTTGTGATGCCATAGGGGAACTGTTTTGGATATCTTACAGAACGTTTCAGGGATCAGTCCATTTAGACACAACTAGAACATTTTAATAGTCTAAGCCAGGGGTCTCAAACTCGCGGCAATATTTTGTGGCCCGCGCCGACCGCTGTACTCTGACAGAATCAGGGGAGCGGGGAGAGAGAGTGCTCCCCGCTCCGCTGATTCTATCCGTACACAGCACGCTTGTCAATCAATGCGCGTTGTCGCGCGCGTTCTGATCAGCTGTGTTGTCGCGCGCATACTCAAGAGCGGTGTTATTGCGCGCCTACTGAAGGGCGGGACCGAGGGTGTGTCGCGTCGCGGGGGCACTTTTGATCATTTTGGAAGGGCACTTTTTATGCAAGACTAAAAAGGGCATGTGCTCTGCACAGGTTGAGCCCTATGTGTGCACGTGCCTGCCCTGTTGATATTATAGGTAGATACAGACTGGTACAGACTGATGTGACTGGAGTGGGGTGGGGGTGTTTTATTTATACATATATACGCCTTTTTTTTAGGTGAGGGAATGGAAGTTTTGAGTGAGTTCCCCCACTTTTTTCCCTAGGACTTCAATAAGTCAAAGTACAGGTCTAGACTTAATGATGATCATCTTCAAGCCATACTGAGGGTCTCAACTGCTTCCGCTCTAAAGCCAAATGTGGTTCAGATTTGTGAGAAGAAGCGCTGTCAAGTCTCTGGCAGCAAGAAGTAGGCAAAAGATGCCATGTTCAGAAGAACTGTTCATAATCTTCACTCAATGTTCTATTAATGTTCAGGACACTTCATGTTCAGAAGAAATAATTAAAACTGTTAATAATGACATTTGAGGACTTTTTTTTTGTGAAATCCCTTATGCGGCCCAGCCTCACCCAGACTTTGCCTCCTGCGGCCCCCAGGTAAATTGAGTTTGAGACCCCTGGTCTAAGTTAAGGAAACTTTTATGAAATAAAAAGTTTATTTGAATATTAATGGTCCTTTTTTGGAATCATAATGCTAATAACTTTCATGTTTAAGAGTGAAGAGCATTTCAAAGCACCCAGCCATTTCCATTTTTGCTCAAAATATTTCAGTGTTTGTACTATATTGCCCTAAATGGATAAATCTACAACAGTCTAATGACCTTCACGGGCAACGAAGTTTAAGGCTTAAAGAAATTCCGGAAAGCTCCAATAAGCCCATCTACAAGGAATATAAATTTAGCAGCTAATAATAAAAATAGTTCCCAGCATTTTTAATAGATTCAAATCTGCTCAGAGAGCCATATCTGCTTGTGTATTTTCCCATGAGCTGGAGTCTTCCTCCCTGTTACAGAAGCGGAGGCAGTCTGTCATTTTCCTGTGATCTGCTATCTACAAAGCTATTATTTCAGTTCAGAGGGTGAATTCCCCCTCCCCAAAAACCATCCACACCTCCATCCCCCACCTCCTCAGGAAAAAGGGAGGAGAATCTCAAGGCATGACAAGGCAGATCGGAGGCGGAGGGTGGTGGCGCGAAGGTTCCCCGACACTTCTGAAACTTGTCCTAAGCACACAAGCAGACAAAATGAATACAAGAACTAGGATGAATGTTAGATGATGTTCTGTATGATGTTATAAAGAGCCCGTGTGGGATTGCTGATTCATGTTTTCAGATTGATTCATACTATGATGACCCGGGGTCAGTGGCTGGTGATCTGTTTTGAGTATTGCTACTATCAGGACTCTTGTCTGATGGGAGTCCGGATTTACATGAGCATCTGATAGGCTATTTAATGAATTGGTCTCATGTGAGTCTATACTGTATGTACAATCTTATTACTTTACTATTGTCCTGGAGTCTTGCTTTCAGGTGTGCATTTTTCTAAGTTGTGCGTTGCGATGAATGAAAAAGCGTGAAAAAATATATAAATATAATAATGGTTAAAATATATTATTATAATGTAATTGCATGAATAAGTACTATTCGTTTATGAAGTGTTAGTAATAAGTTAATGTTTAGTAAAAGGGTTACTATGTTAATGTTTAGGTTAGTATTGAGGTTAGTGTTTCATTTTTGGGTGAATTATCCCTTTAAGGTTCTGTTTGAGTTAGATGCTTTAAGTATGACTTTATTATTAGTATATTAATAATGTAATGTGTTAAAATACAAAAGAAAAGCCTTTTAAACATTACAATAGTAATATTTGAATAAAGCATGTATGCATCACACATCAGTGACTGTGTTCTGATTTTATTGTTAAACTGTCATATTATATTACTAAGTTTTACTGTACTACTGTAAATTTGTATAAAAACATACATAACGTTCTGTAAATATACAGCTAATAAACATATATAATATATATATAAATTATATTTTTACTGTGATTGATTTCAGTAAGTTACTGGCGAACTGCTGCCAGTCTGTTACTCCACAGGAAATTGTTAACAAAGCCGATTTACAAGTCTGTGTATCATTTTTGTCTGTGATGTTTAACAAAGAAAGCCTCATAAATTTACTCATTGCTTTTAAATGTGGTTTTGAAACATATTTAGTGATAATCTTTGACTCAAACATATATTCTGGAGCGTGCTCTTTAAACGATGCCTCCGAAATAATGCTGCTGATGCCATAGGGGAACCGTTTTGGGTTCCTTATAGAACTTTTCAGGGATCATTTCAACATTCAACCAAAAATAGGCTTTAAAAAAATATGAATAAACTTAATGTTGTGAAATTTGACCTGGGCATGTTATGTTTTCCAGAAATTCACTCACTTTGTTAAAATTTGAATAACAAACTCTTGAAAAAAAGAAATCTTATGTGTAGCACAGCAACAAGTGAAGGCGTGTGTGTGTGTGTGTGTGTGTGTGAGAGAGAGAGAGAGAGAGAGAGAGAGAGAGAGAGCATTTTAAGGGCTCTAATTCTCCTTATCAGACTTGTGTAGTCTATCTAGTGCTCTATTTGTGGAGCAGGACTGGTGTGGAAAGGCGGACCGCGGCGGCAGGTCGGAATTCGCCGTGAGGTGTGGAGGCGGGAACACAGAACAGCAAGAAACACCTTACAGCTAAGAGTGAAAGAAGACTCCTATGGCTTCTGCTTGACAAATTCAACCTCAGTGGCATTGGTTGTGCTAGTGGCAGAGAGAGATTGGAATATTAAATATGGCCGGAAAGTCTCTGCACTTGTGCGTCTTCGTAATTTGCGCGATTCAAACGAACACCGGATTTAACATTGACGTGCAGTTCCCGGTTATCAAAGAAGGAAAAACCAAGGGCAGTCTATTTGGATTCTCAGTGGCACTGCACAAACAGACCGAAAAGGCGAAGAAGAACTTGTAAGTAGCCTCTGTTGTCATGGAGAATATATCTCATAATGTCGAAAGTTGTTTGTTTTTGCTCTTTTCTGTCCTTTGCGCTCAATACACGTAAGAACAAGGAATCTACAAACGAGGACACATATCACAAACCAGTAGCTATTTGTGTTCCATCGATGAATTCATTTCATGAGTTGATTTCTAGTTTTGGGTATCTTTATGCCACTTAAACATAATCTTTCTTTCGCACCTGCAGCGCTACATTGATGTCTGATTCTCGAATCATTCATTTGAGTCGATTCTGTTAAATGATTCGTTCGAACTGACTTGTTGACTAGTCGTTAAATACGATTCAACAGTAAAGCTAACAACAATACAATCTTTTGAATGTTTTATTACTAAATATTAGCACGAATAATATAAATAAATATACATTAATATAAAATCAATTGCTCATTTCTTCCAGCAAATAAACACGCCGTTCATTCTAGCACGGCCAAGTTACAGTTCTTAGCATCGGTTGAGTGAATTGGTTTATTGAAACTACTCGGATCTAACCTTCGAAGCGCACTTTTTAATTTGTGATTATTTAATTATCTATACAGTATTGGTTTTATGAATTACTATTTTTGTAGTTCTTGCTTTATTGCCTACCTGTGACAGGAAAAAAAATCCATATTGAAGGGACTTGATAGGCCTACTTTATTTTTGGTTTTCTGGAAATTATGGTAAAACCGTTTCTCCATGCTGTGGTAAGTAATATCTACTATACTAAAATTAATGTAACAATAGGCCTGCTTATATTACTATGTCTATGTGGTATAATAAATGTACTCTATGTAAAGCAACCATTGTTTCTTTACAAATATTACATAATTAGTTAAACCATAGTAAAGTATAGTTAAATCTTGGTGTTTGTAGTAAATCTATAGATATAATTGGCGATCTCTCTGACAAAAGAAACATGTTTTACTTAAAAAAAAAGTATGTTTTACTTTGTTGGACCTCAGTGCCCACCCGCAAACTAAAGGACACGATTTTACAATACTTAAGATTAGGCATGAGCTGGTATAAGGGTGCTTTTACACCTGCCTTATTTTGTTCAGTTGAATCGCACTAGAGTTCGTTTTTTTCTCTTGGTGCGGTTCATTTGAGCAGGTGTGAAAGTAGCAATCGTACTCAAGTGCGCACCAAAAAAGTGTACCGAGACCTCCTTGAAGAGGTGGACTTGGTATGCTTTCAAACGAACCCTGAAGCGGTTTGTTTGTGGTGAGAACATGATCCGAACTAAAACAGACCCAACCGCAAAAAGTACTGCGCCGATTTGGATTAATCCAGCTGCCGTAGGCCAATGCGCTGTGCATTATTGAATGTGGAGGAAAAATGTTTGTTGACAGCGTTTACCAACAGAGAGAGAGAGAGAGAAAGAGAGGGGAAAACTTTACCTGATGGTTCGTTGGTAATATTTCCAGAAGTCGCAGTTTAGCTAAACGAATTCACACCTCCTCCTGAAGTGACTCGCGATGTGCCTTCGCCGTTTGCTATGCCTTAAAACATTGTTTTCCTCTTCTTCATGTTGTGTCTGCCGGTTTGTTTACTTGCATGAGTACCACTGGCATTTTCCCGCACGTGGATTTTAACATTAAGCAGTTTAGGAATTACGTTTCACAACATTTGGCCAATGAGTGATATGGGGTTTTGTCACATGGCTGTAGTCAACTGGTTCGGACCAAAGCAATCAGTGTGGTGTGAAAAGGACTCAAAGAATTGCAGAAAATGCTACAATGTATCATTTGTTGCCCTTGGTCTGGACCAAATGAACTGAACCACCGATGGGAACACAACCTAAGATTCTACAGGTATGATAACCTTGGATAAAAACGACACGCAGGGTTCAACGCTAAGGATTTTTTCTACTGGTCCGTTCAGGCCAATGGTTCAGATTTTTATTTGCCCTGCCAAAATTTTCACTGGCCCCTTAAAAAAAAACTAATAAAATTTAATAGCTATTTTTTGCCACATATATTAAATAATGTGTCAAAAATAATGTTTATAATTGTTAAAATGTTAATATTATTTAAATAATATTTTTTAAATGTATAATATATGTATAATGAGCAAAATTATGTTAACAAAACAAAAATAGCTGTATGGAAAATGTGAAGTTACTTTATTTGAGTTCGAAATTATTTAAAAAAGGTGGCCCCAATCGGGCCAGTAATGGTCCCGTCTACTGTCCTAAGCGTCTCCCACACTGGCCCCGGGCCATCGGGCAGTCCTTATTGTTGAGCCCTGAACACGGTTTTGCTGTATTGTGATTAACGGTGAAAAACACTGAATTTCTCTTTGGGACAATTTTCACCTTTAATGGAAAGGACAGTAGAAAGTATTGACAGGAAAGTATGGGAAGCAGAGAGAGGGGAAGGATCGGCGAAGTGGAAATCAAACTCGGGTCGCCGTGAGCACCAGAGTGCATGTGTCGACACACTAACAACTATACCACTGGCACCAACATTTCTTCACAATTTAAAATGGCATGTTTGAATATCTTTTCTGCTAGAAATACTGTTGTCCTAAAAAACTTTTAAAAAATGTAAAAAAAAAAAAATTCTTACACAAACCTTAGGAACAGTTTAGCAGAGCATTTTGGCAGTTTTAAAACCTTGACTTTTCCAATCCGGGGTATACCTTGAAAGCGGTTATCGTCCCATGCCTACTTGACATCATATGTGTGCAAATTTTAATAAGGCATTATTGTTTTTTAGCTAAAAGATAACAATCATAAGCCTAATATATGCACAAATTAAATGTTAAAATGTGAAAAGGCCTCAAATATAGAAAGTATATTTCACATTGGTTTGTAGCTTCACCAGACATTAATCAACTATAGTAGATCACAAAAGCAGGTGTTCTCATTTGAAACAAGCCCAAACAATAGTAACTGGATCTCAGTTATAGGTGGGGACAATGAATGGCCCTCAGATTGACATCTTTCGCATTTACCACTCGACATAAAATAAACACACGCAACTGAAAGATCAGTGCTCATCCACCAGGATCTTATCTTTGACCTATTCTTACCATCTTTATTATGCAGGGGTTTTCTTCCCACAAGAAACATTTGTTTCTTATTTGATTGACCAACGTCTCCCTTGCTATTACTATAACAATATTTAACAATATTTTTATTTTCTATGTCGGTTTACAGTTTCTACAGTGGCCTACTTTCCAACTTGAGTAATTTGAATACAGATCTGGTGAAATATGACAGGTGCTAACACACTAGCACAACCAAACAATAGGAGCGTGTTCAAACCATGTAGCCGAAGGAGAGGAAAGCGCATTCAGATCAATGCACTACCTTTCTTACTGTTATTACAAATGCCCGAAGCTTCAAGTAAACTCTAAAGGAAGCTGTATTTTATTTCTTAATGCTGGCAATACCAAAGAATCATACACCTCAGGCTGTGCTTTTATTCAAAGACAGGAAACAATGTATTGCGTAATACATAATCTGTCTTCTCTAGGCTTTTACAGTTGTCGTAAGATATTATCCGCTGTCAGAAGTGTGCTTTCTAGTTAATATTGCAAGATATCTCCAGGTTTTCCACGGCAGAGCTTTGTCATGCCCTCATATCCTGTGCTGGTATAACCTGTTGCCTACTGTTTATGCTCCTGATAAACCTATTAGCCTCTCAGTGGCTGCTTTCAAAAGGAAAACCCATAGTAATGGCCTGCTGCTGCAGTACTGTCCACCAATATCAGCACCATTGGTAAATATGACTCGAGACTGTGAAACGAATGTATTTATTGATCTTTTTATTCACAAATATTAAAAATAAAAATCTGAAGGTGCTTGAGTTTGTTTATAGATTGAAGCAAAGGCCTTATCTTAAAACCTTATCAAGCTATTTGCGATAAAGAAGGTGGAGTTGAATTGCAATTTTGGAGAATTCCTGACCCCAAGACTCAACTACCTTTGGCAATTCTCCCGCTGTGATTATTAATATTTCTTGGTCACTCAAACTGTCCAAACCACACCAAGCTGACGGTCAGCCATTGGGCTACACTGTAAAAAATAAATCCATAAAATTTACGGTAAAAAAACGGCAGCTGTGGTTGCCAGTACTTTAACCGTTAAAAACACGGTACAAACCGTAAAGTAATTTTTCATTTTTACGGTAAATTACCGTATTTTATTCATTTATAGAGGTAATATGTCTGTATTTTGAATAATCAACATCTACACTTTTTTTGTTTCACAGTTAGACACGTTAGCACAACCACATGAAGAAGGTGGTGATGAAGTTACAAAATGAGCCAATGCTCATCACAATCAACTTTTCCCACAAGCAGAAAAGCATATCAGCATTTAGAAGGTGCTCAGTGTCATTCACACAGCTTCTAAACACCAGTATGGTAACACACATAAAACTAAAGTCATGAAATAAACATTATTTATCAACATTAGATGTAACATAAATCTCTAATGTACATAACTGATTGGGAAACAACTAAAAAGATCCATATTATGGCAACCAAATGCATATAAAGTGATGTGCCATGCAGGGAATTCTGAGAAAGTCAATTTACGGTTATTCGCCGTATATATTAAGGAAACATACTGTTAACCAGGTTACGGATTTGTACTGTAGCATTTTTACAGTTTTTTACCGTTGAAATCTAAGCCATTTTTTACAGTGTAGGTTGGTAAGCGTCAGTCTTGCTAGTCGTTCCAGCCGATTCGAATGTTATCGATTGAATGGGCGTTATCAGTGGTTGTCAGCTGAGAGATATGGGCCAGTAGGGGCCTTCTGTGCTTACTTGTAGGCTCAGCAGGCTGTAATCATCCATCCACATGGTTAACGAGAGATGATACTCTGATTGGTATAGTGCCTGTTATGCTCAAAACACACCCAGAACTCATTAAGAGAATAAGCACAACCCTGTTAGACCATGCACCAGGGCGCAAAGTGTATTTTTATGTCCTTAAAATAGCGAAAGTGGATTCGGACACGGGG